AGGTTGAGACTGAGATCTTTACTGTCCTCCCAAATGGCAGGGACAGTCTCCTGAAGGCAAATCGTTGGTTTTAGACTTTATTAGACTCTTACTTTAATTACCACCTCATTACTTGCTCTGCTTCCACAAAAAGTATTCCATACTGTCATTTTCCCTAAGTAACTGGAAATGTGATTGAAAGGGATGTTTAAAGTGAGACTAATTCAAGATTAAATAGTCACAAATTATATTATTGCTACATGTAAACAAATTACTTGCATATCTCATTTTATTCAGATTACTTTTCAAGTGGTAAATAATGCTTTATCACTTATATAGTGCTCTTACATCTTTAGAGTGCTTTTCTCACATTAATTAATCATCATTAAACACTCTGAGGTGGGTAGGTTAATACTATTATCCCCATTTTGCAGATGAAGAAATGTAGACTGAGAGGTTGTGATTTGCTCAAGGCCATATAGAAGAAATAGAATCAGAGCTGGGATTAGATCTGTGTCCCTAGCTTCTAATTTGAGAAGACCAGCCAGATTGTGAGCCACAGTTTTGAAGCAAAATATACAAGTATGCACGTAGAAACAACTGTGCACGTATGCACACATTTGCTTGGCCTCTTAGATGCCTAACTTGCAATTTGTTTAAACAGAAACTTGGCTTTTGTGCCATGCTGCGTATTTCCACATTCATACCCCCAAGTGTGGAAATAGCCTCTCAGTCATTTAGGAACTCTTCCTAATCTGATGGAGTATTTTATTTTCACCATTTTCATTGAAATTAACTTTCATCTTAAAAATACCAGTTTCTAGTTCTTTAGACTTGAACATAACTGTGTGACTCAGATACAGCAGGTTTAGCATTGGTACCCGAAACTGTCTACAGATGACACCAGTACCAGCTCTGTTGCTTGTAATTTTTCATGAGCTGAGACATAAATAAAATTCTGACTTGACAGCTTGCCTTATTGCTGTTCAGAACAGATGTGAGAGAGAAGAATTGCCCTTAGTTTGCTAAAACCATCACCTTTGTAGGCAGTGCCTAGCTGCTTAGTAAAGAGAGACATTCGCATGCATGCACTTTACCTTAGAGAACTACCTAAATAAAACAAAATAGTCTTGAACTGGAGAGGAGAGCAGAACTATTTGTGCACCACCTTGATAATCAGAAACACCACAGAAAATTATGTTCAGCTGTTAGTAATGGGAGCACATGCAGAAGCAACAGGTAAGGAAAAATGAGATGGAAGAAAGAGGTGCCCTTGTACGTGAGGGTGAGGACCTGCTGGGGAAAGGTGGGGTAATGGGGGACAGGTTAGAGACCCATGGGTACGTACAAGTAAGAATCAGCTTTGTGCTACAGCATCCTTCTCACCCGTCCCTCTTCACAGGGAAACGCTGCAAGTGATTGTATTGCCTGGCTGCTGAGTTAGGAGATCTGGCTTCTGTTTCTAGCCCTGTTCCTGACCAGTGTTAGTGGTTAAGTTACTCAGCCTGTAAAATTGGTACAATGCTTTTCACAAGTGCTGTACACTTAAATTCATGGAAAAGTTTTTGAGCTCTTCAGATGGAAGATCCCGGAGAAGGTGGAGTATAAATAGATAGACTGGAAAGAGAGAAAGTGTTGAAGATAAAAGGATTTTTCTGCCTTCAGACAGCTAACAAAGTCTTTGGCTGTATGATACGAGTTGTTTGGTGGTGATTTGGAGTCACTAGCCTGCAAGCTGCCCTGTGTTCAGATTAGCACGATGGAACTGGGGGACACCTGGGAAGTGATCACAGGTCTAAAGCTGATCCTTTGGCTCTGCTGTGACTCTGCTTGTGAAACCTAGAAACAAGACATTCCCTAAAAGCAGCAACGTACTCTTCCCTTTAAGTAGCTCAATCTAGTAGTAATGAGAGCAGAGCCAACATGTAATCACGTGCTTTAATGGTTTGGTTTTTAATCCAGAAGGAATTACAGTTTGGGTTACAGGCACACAGAGGTGTGCTCTCCCAGGGCTGTCCCGGGTGGCCGCTCGTGGAGCTCCCAGGTATGGCTCTGTCTGGTCAGGGGCTTGAGAAGCACTAAATTTTAACAAGTTGCTGTTGGAGGAAAGGAAGGAAACAAGATATTTGCCCATTTGTTTTCTTTTAAGACTATGGAATGTGTTTTCCGACAGTGGATCCTGTTTTAATAACCAGACCCATGATTAGGTAATGTTACGTTTGCTGCAAGAGTAGTTTAATAAATATTTTAGTATGCAGATAAGCCATTGATAACAGCATGCATTCACAAACTCATACATTTTTATGCCTGAAAGGGGAGAATTCAGAGTTTATTGATACCACTTCCACTACGATGCCTTAAAAGTAATGCATAGCTGGTGGCACTAGGTGTCCAGACAAACTGAACTCAAATGAACAAACAAACAGGTCATTTATTTTATTTACCCTGAAAGGAATTTTTGTTCTTTAATTGTAACTCTAGATATAAATTATGTGTGGAAGATAGACTAATGATTTTCCCATGTTTGATTAAAGGCAAAGAATCAAAGATTTGTTTATATATTTATCTATTTGTTTCTTTGCTGTGATAAAACCAGTTGTTATCCAAACAGTGTGACTGACCTAATAAAGGACATATGCATAATTGATCTCCATCTGTTTTTCAATATTTATTCTCTTTTTTTTAGTAGAGTTCAGTTCCAGAAGTGCAGCCTGAAACATTTTTAAGGTGGTATATTTTAGCACTTCTGTAAAAGGTCTTATTTTATGCTGGCCACTGAAATGAAAAGGTTTGTTGTTGGTTCCACCCTTTAGTATCCCTTCAAGAGAGATTATATCAAAGAAGAAGAATTAAATTAAAATTGATTGGTGTTATTGATTTTTCTTGTCTTTTTTTTTAAAGGGGATAAAGAGCAATGGAAACAGCATATGCCCCTGTGCTGTTTTACTGATGGACTGTTTTTTAAAAACATAAAAAGCATATGTGCCCAATTTACATATTTACTAATTAAAAAAGCTTCCTGGAAACATCAAGTAGACTATCTTCTGTAACCTTTAACATTGTAGCTAATGGATATAGCCTGGAAATTTTCATAGAAGGTCCTCTAAATAATGTAAATGATTATGAATATGTAACTAGTTAATATGCAGCTACGAAAGGATTATCATGTAGAGGTTAATGAACATGCTGCTCTTATGGTTTGCAGGGCTTTTCTTTTTGTGCTTTTAGCTCACTTCATGCATGGAAAGTCATGTATTGGGAATGGAAAGCCTCCTGCCTTCTCCATCTTCATCTGTAATGGGGCAATTAAACTGGAACTTTCTTAAAGGATTTCATAAATATTTTTGTATGCTTAATTATGTTGTGTACTTCACAATCATCACCAAATCTGAAAGAATGAAGGATGTCGATAGAGTAGGCTCTGACTCTTCTACTTGTTAGTGGTGGTCTCCATTGTGTGTTAGCATTCTGACCAAATGTTGCTGTGCTGCATGATTTATACCTTTTACAGAAACTTTACTCTTAAAATGGGCTTAATATTAATAGTATCAATTAGATTTCTGAGTTGATGTCCTACAGAAATCTGTACATTTATTCTTCACCCTAAAAAATAGTTACCTTGCACATTAAGGAAAATATTTGCTAGTCATTTGATTTGTAGGAGTTTAAAGCAAATGATAAATTTAAACTTGGCTTACATGGAATGAGCTACCTGGCTGAATTTCCTGATGGATTATGAAATAGCGTAACCACAAATGTAGAGCTGATCCTTTTCATTTAAGTACTTTACTCCGTTTAAAGAATTATTAGCTCACAAAGTAGTCCCATTTTTTTTTCACTCCTATGTGAGTAGAAAGTGCAGGGTTTGAGATCTGTTCTGCAATAGCTGCACATATGCTAACTAAAAAAAAAATTGTCTTTCATTCTGTTGTTTGGGAAAAAAAAAAGAATTATCTGCTCCAGTGATTTCAGTGGTACTTGAATGTATGTTATTGTTTTCTCTGCAAATTTTATCATTAATTGCTTTCAAATGTTAGCATTATTTTGGCTATAGGAAAAATGAAATTTGTAAAAAAAAAAAAAAAATTTCTAGAAAATGCTTATATTGAGAAGATGTCTAGACATATTTAATTGCCTCATGGCTTCATTGCATTTCATATAATTGAATGAAATTGTTTGTGTTATATTTTTGGTAACCATTATTCAGAGATCAGAATATGTTTTGAAAGACAAAATCTCCACATAATTATGGCAGAGAAGGTCACAGGTTTCAGCATCTTGTCTATTTGCTATATCTACATAGTCTAAAAAAATAACAGTTAAAAAAGGAAAAAAAATTTCATTTTAACAGTGCGCTTTATTTTGTAAATTATTTTGGATCTCTTGGGAAAGCCTGTGGCATAAAGAAATAAGTGAAATATTCAGATTAAAACTTCCTTTTTTTTGACACCCAGAAAGAACAGAAAGGAAGCCAGCAGCCCACAATGGTGTCACATATCCTTGTATTTAAACACCACAAAATTAATTTGTGCTTTTTCAGATTAAAACGGCCAGTGGAAACATTTGTTGATGTACTGATAAAGGAAAAAATGTTTTTGGCGCTGTGGGGTTCGTTTGTTTTTGTTTTTTAATGAATGAGTATGGAAGTTACATTGATGTCTTGCTATAATTTATGTTGTTTTCTTGTTCTGCAAACATGTAACACTGAAAATAGATCTCCAGATTGCACAAACTACTACTTATCTTACATCGTGTGTCACCTAATAGTTATGGAGCAGGTATTGTACCAAAATATGAATTGAAAAGCTGTAATTTTTTCTGTGGTTATCAGTCTGCATTAGTGTGTGATAAAGTGTGCTGCTTAAGAACTACCATTCACATGCCTTTGCGCTGACAAATAAAAATGTATATAGAGACACCACCAAATCTGTAAAGCTACTGTTCTAGTTTCTGATGCATTGACATTGCAGCTGTGTGCTTAGCCTTGTTTTTTCATGAGTAGTTATCTGTTTTAATGACAGGTGGTCACTAGCTGCCAAGAAAAAATCCAGCACTGGTAAGTGAAAAATGTTTGATTACATGCCTAAAATATTGATGAGTAACCTAGTTATATTTTAGTAAAGTACTGCTATTTATTCTAGTGATAGCCAAATTCTACTAGCATGTTTTGGGGATTATAGTTAGCGATAGCTCAGAATTACTGCAGTGTACTCTCTTTAAAATGTATGTATTTTACACTGATATCATTACTTTAAATCACAAATACACTGAACCTTGGTGTTTTTACTTCTGTTTTAAATACCCAGCTCATTCGTCATTTTTCCCCAAGTAACCTTGTGGGATGAATGTTGAATTTGCCTGATTGGTGAAAAGGTACTCTGAGGGTAGAATTAATTATTATTCTTGTTTTCTTTCTAACTATGGAGCAAGTAGGGAAATTCTGCCCCCCCCCGCCCCAGATGCGCTAAAACAATGTGAAAGTAATGTTTGCCTGTTTTTTTCCCCCAGTAAAGTATGTGGTAAAGCTTAGTTTGTAATGCTTAGAAAGAAATGGTTTGTTATGTAAAAAAATTATCTCTGGGCACTTTTTTCTCTGTTGGCAATCTATGGTTAATAGAAAACATGCTTAGTAAATAATAGTTTTGTATGGCATCTGAGGAAAACGTACATTTAATGGTGAATGAGATCTTATATTATGAGTTACTGTGAGATATAACAGTTGATCTTACAGATATCAAATTACAATATATCCATGCTGTGTTTACCATGATTTTACTGAGAGAACAACAGGAGCTGTCTTGATTATTGTCTGCAGGGTTATTGCAGAATCGCAGCAACTGCCCCTTTAGTGGTGAGATTAAACCTTTGGTTATACACCATCAAGCATATAATATTTTAAATTTATTTTAAGAGGCTTTTTCTTCATGCCTGAAAGATCTCCAAGCAAATAATTTATATTTAGTATGTATCAAATGTTTTTCATTTAAATGCACATAGGCAGCAAGCACTGGATAAGAGGAAAAAAATCAAGGCAATCTATACACATCATCATATTAAATTCTGACTATTGGCTCGCAAAAATAGTCTAAAACTAATATGTTTCATTTATGTTTAAAATTCAGAGACTGCATTAATTTTCAATAAGGGAAATATTATTGAAGTGCCTACTGGTGCTGCTGTGGTGAAGTCAGGCAGAATATCCCTAGCACACATACTTTCTCAGGAGCTTTGCAGTGTCCATACCAATTTGGTCCCATGTTCTGCATTCT